ATAGATAGATAGATAGATAGATAGATAGATAGATAGATAGATAGATAGATAGATAGACAGATAGATGATAGACACTTTGCCCTTCCAGCACTCTTGAGAATTCATACTTAATCCTGTTCAGGAAGAAAAAGCTGTTTTGAGGAAGACACCATCCTGAGGTAAGGTCCCATTAAGTGTCAGATCACAGAAACACAGGCTAATGATTCTTAATGCATTTCCCAAGACAATATCCTCAGCATGATTAAGGGGAAGATTTTACATTTTCCTAAGGTTAAAAACCAAAGGTAAGTATTTATGATACACAACTTCTTGGCCACAATTCACACAGCTAAGAGATTTGATGCTTTAACATTTATTTTTAAAAATTGTATTTCATTGAAGATAATGGAAATGATGGTGATGGTGATGATGATAGTGATAATGATGATTATGGTAGTGGTGGTGATGGTGGTGATGGTGGTGATGGTGGTGATGGTGATAATGGTGGTGATGGTGATGATGATAGTGATGATGATGATGATGATGGTAGTGGTGGTGATGGTGGTGATGGTGGTGATGGTGGTGATGGTGATAATGGTGGTGATGGTGATAATGGTGGTGATGGTGATGATAGTGATGATGATGATGATTATGGTAGTGGTGGTGATGGTGGTGATGGTGATGATGATGATGATAAAATGCCTTATAATATGGTTGCTTCTCAACCAAGATTCCAGAATTAACAAAGGAGGAAATACATGTTTTTAATGCTATACATTTATCAGAAAACTATATTCCAACACACATGGTTTATCTTTTTTTGTATAATAATAATTTCCTCGAGAATCATATTTAACTTATAACTGTAATCATTTGATCTATTGAAGCATCTTCCTTAACTTGACTCATGGTTCTTGTAGTTTTTCAGTGAAATAAAACAAATTGTATTACTTACTTTCCATATTGCTATGACAAAACACCTAACCAAAGCAATGTAAGGGAGAAGGGGTTTCTCTTGGCTCTCAGTCAGAGAGGAACTCTGTATGGTGAGGAAGGCAGGCCGAGGAGCGTGAGGCTGCTGGACGTGTTGTGTCCACAGTCAGGAAATGGGGTGATGGGTGTTTTTGCTCAGCTAGCTCTCTCTTTTTTGTGTAGTCTTGGATCCCCAGCCCATGCATGGTGCCATCTACATTAAGTGGCTCTTCCCACTTCAGTTAACCTACTGGATAATCCCTGATAGACATGCCTACAAACCAGTCTTGGAGGTGATTCTAGATCTTGTCAGGTTGACAATAAGAAATAGCATATAAATGAAAATGTAAGGTCTCAATTTCCTCATGTCCATTGTAAGAGAGTTAAGGAAAGTTATTGTGTCTTTTCATTGTAATGAGAATTAATACTCATAGAATAGCTTCCATGAGAATTGTGGTAGTTTTGTATTTAGAGATTTAACTATAACACATACTGTCACAAAGATTCTAACATTATTTTCTGCTGCACAGAAAACAAAGTATTAGCGTACTAGCTACGTTTGAATCTGTGACCACAACACCTGACAGAAACACCAGAAGAAAGGGAAGATTTATTTTCACTCATGATTTTATTGCATTTCAGTCCATCATGGCAGGGAAGGCCTGGTGTTTCATGGTGGCAGGAGCATGTGGTAGAGGCTGTTCACAGGAAAGTAGTGCGGAAGGAAAGAGTCAGCTGGAACCAGGGGCTTGGTTATAACATGCAAATGCCCACCCCTAGTGACCTACTTCCGTGGCTAGGTCCCCCCTCCCAAAGACTCCATGTCCTCCCCAAATGGTGCCACTATCAGGGGACCAAGCATTCACACCCTGAGATGTAGGGGAATATTTCAGATTCAATCCACAAGGATTAAAGGGGGTGGTATGCCTAAGAGTTCATGACTAAAAAGTTGTAAAATCAGTTACTGAATGCAAATCAGCTACAAAAAAACGTTACATTGATTTCACACAGTGTTGTTTCCAGTATTCTGTTTCTGTATACAATTAGTGGTTCTAGATTTATAAACAGGTCATATGGGACATCAAGCTATCAAAATATGTGGAACTTTTAATATATGTCCAGTAATCTGGTTACTTGTCTATAAATGCCAATATCTGGTGATGTCAAGAAAATACTAACTATAGACGAAAGAAAATGGATTACATGACTGGGAATCCCCCCTGCACACTTCTTATTATGTGGTATCTGATCATGGGGACTACCTTAAAGATTAGAAAGTAATAATCACAAAGTGATTCAGCTTACAGAGTGCTGTGCCTTCAATTACATCACAAACAACTAAGCTAGGCAGCACTGTTTGCTTTTTGCAGATAATGTCCAATAGGTCCATGGGTCCACATTCTTCCTGTGGTGATTTAAATCATTTAAATCTTAGAAGAATAAAATAAACAAATATAAACAAAGGCACCAACCCCAAGAAGAAGGACCTTCTTAGACAACCAAGCCTAATTCGAAATATCCCTTTCCTTTAAATTGCACTTAAGTATCTATTGCTTTATTCATACATTAATTCATTCAACAATCATTTGTAAACCCATAGTAAATTGCCTTAATAAGTACAAGCTGCAACTAGAGGAAATTAGGTAAGGGAAAAGGAATCCTGAGAGGAAGTGGGGAGGATTCTGTAGGCCAGAAAGTCAGCATGATGACCTAGAGATAGTTCAACAGATGTCAGGAAGTCAATGTAACAGCACTGGTGTCCATGGACACTTATCTCTCTGTCAGGGAATTAATTTTCTATGCCCAGAGTGAGCACACACTTGCACTGCAGTCACACAGACTTGTGTTCAACAGGTGATTCTATCCCTTGCCTGCTGTGAGGTAGGACATGAGGTCAATGGGTCATTTCCACCTGAAGGGAAATCCTGAGAACCTCAGTAACCACGTATGACGAATGTCTGTTAAGTGTCCATCAGTGTTCAGCCATGATGCTACCGCATAGCCATATATGGGGAGGACGCAGAAGGAGACCGTGTTTTGTACGTGCTACTACCCAAACAAGGCAGGACTAAGTCATTAAATATTTAAAGTTTCTGGTTAAAGCTGACTTTAAGACACATATTACAGAGATAAAAGGAGGAAGAGGAGAAGAGAAAAGAGAAAAAAGGAAGAGGAGGAAGAAGGAAGGAAGGAGGGTGAGGGAGGAGGAGGAGCAGAAACTTAGATGAACTAGTGGAATTCAAAAGACTGGCTTTCCAAGTATAAAATAAAAGGGAAATTAAAATTTGAAAATTGAGTTTAAGACAAAATACAAACACAACTGAAGCCTTTTACAGAGCACCCGACATGAAGCAACTAAGAAAATTACAGAATAATTTGCCTGTGTGGGAAAAGACGGAAGTCAGCTGATGCCGTCACCCTCAGTGAGGGTCTTATTAAGCCTTTCATCTTCTAAGAGACAAAGGGCATAGGCAAGTTCTGCAAAATTCAATCCAAACAAGGTGATAGGGGTAGGAAGACACTTAGAGGAAAAAAAAACATTCTAATGTTTAGAGAAAATAGAATTTTAACATATTTTTATCTTTCTGGAAACCATACCAAGTCTCGGTATTACTAGGATTTCATTGGACTGAATCTCTGGGCTTTTGTCCTAGGTGTCTGTGTTTTCTTCCTACTTGCAACCATATTCTAGCATCAATCTGCCTGTGTACACTAGAAGTTCTGCCATGAATTCCTAATGGAAGATTTCAAGATTCAATATGCATAACTATGAGACTGGTTACCTAATCAAACTTAAGTAAAAAATTCTTTGTTGTTTTAGGAAGAAATTGAGTAAGAAGTTATTTTAAGCAATCAGACTCTGATTTACAACAACCTGGACATATCATGAAACATCTTGAGCATTGATATTTTTTATATATTTTATCTATTTATTTATTTATGTTTTGTTTTATGTGTATGAGTGCATTGCCTGTGTGTATGTAAGTTCCCCCTTGACATGCAGTGCCTGTGTAGGACAGAAGAGGTTATCAGATAGATTCCCCTGGAACTGGAGTTATGGATGGTTGTTAGCTTCCACATGGATGCTGGGAATCGAACCCAGGTCCTCTGCAAGAGCAGCCAGTACTCTTAACCATTAATCCATCTCTCCAGCCCCTCAAGTACTTATGTAAATTGTTGGGGTGTTGTCTCAGAGACAAAGGGAGACCTTGCTGAAGGAGGTGGGGCATACAGGGTGAGGAGCAAAGTCACAGTTCCAGCTCCCATCAGAGTTTGTGCGAGTGCTTGTGAGTCCTTGGGTGTCAGTGCTGCCACTGAGCAGACAGAAGCAGGTGGATCCCTTGGGCTCACTGGCCGGCCAGCCTAGCCTGCTTGGTGTGGTCCAGGCCAGTAAGAAACCCCATCAAAAGAACAAAGTGGATGGCTCTAGAGGAACGACACTTAAGATTGTCCTCTGACAAAGCTGGAGAGATGGCTCAGCTGTTAAGGGCACTGGCTGTTCTTGCAGAAGACCCAGGTTCAAATCCCAGCACCCACATGGCAGCTAACAATTGTTAGGAACTCCAAATGACCTCTTCTGTTCTCTTTGGGTACTACGTGACATGGGTGCACTTACATACATGCAGGTATACACATGAAATAAAAATGAATAAAATATTTTTTTAAAAGATTGTCCTCTGACATCCACAAGCATGCATACAGACACACACAGTAATAAGGCCTCCAAGCATGCTGTGCCTGTACTTATCTGTCCATCTCTCAAGGACTGTATATGAACTGGAGAAAACAGCTGCTTGCATGGTGAAGACTTTTTCACACATGTCCTGTTTGATATTGATCATGAGATAGCTATCTATGCTGAACTACTCCAAATAATCTGGTCAAAGTGAGTTTCTGAACAAGAGGATGTTATGGAGCATGAGTCAGATAGCTTCTGGCTTTGGGGAAGTGCTAGAAGTCTCTATATAAAGATGGAGCTTCCTAGGTAGGATATTGGAACAGCGAGAAGACATTGGCGGACTTCCCTGAGAAGAAAGATCAAGTACAGGATGCCGAGCTTTCCCCCTCTGCTGCTGCTGCTGCTGCTCTGGGGTTCCAGTTCTTACGGCTTCCCACCACTTTCAGAAGGAAACTGGCAAAATGTGGAGAAAGTCTGGGTAAATGCTCCATCACTCCTGTTAGGAATACAAGTCTTTGCTTCTTTCTACCATAGCATAATGGTATTTATGGATGGCTTTCCTTCTACAAAAATGCTGTTTGTCAGAAATGGAACCTCCCCAACATGCATCTTGCCAAGCCTAGACTCCCCCTTTCTAGTTGGAAGTGAGAGGGACCCAAGAAAGAAGACACAATTCCTTCTACATATTGTAGATTAGCAGCAGTGCAAAACCCTCACTCTGCAAACCTTGCTCTATCACAAAGTTCAGATTTCTTAGAAATTAGTGGTGAGATTCATGCTCTGAAACTGAGTTTTTCCATTAAAGATACGGTGACAAGAATGATGAAATGCAGTCAAAATGTTAAAAGTAGTTCTTGATTTTGACTAAAACAGCTGTCAATCTTTTTTTCAAAGTGAATACTGTTTTCCAATTAGTATTTCAACAACTTTAACGATATTTCTTTTGTATGTGTGTTTTGCCTGCATGTATGTATATATATACTATGTGCATGCCTAGTGCCCCCAGAGGTCATAAGAGGTCATAGGATCTCCAGGAACTGGAGTTACAGGAGGCTATGGGAGCTGGGAACTGAACCTGGGTCCTCTGCAAGAACAGCAAGTGCTCTTAACTGCTGAGCCATATCTTCAGAACCTAGTGTTTCAATAATTTTATATTTTATCAGAAATACCTGAAAGACAATTACAAATTGGATGGATACCTGCCAATTGAAAAGCTGAGAGGCACAGGGTTGACGATTGAAAAGCTGAAGCAAATACAGCAATTCCTTGGGCTGAAGGTGACTGGGAAGTCAGTTCCTCAGTCCCCAAGAGTGGGGAGGAACGCTGAGCTTGAGGCAGCTGATGAGGTCCTGTATGTGACTGAAAACAACCCTCGCTGGCAGAAAACACATCTGACTTACAGGTAACCAGGGCGGGCATCAGAATGAGAACACTATTTTCTACTAGAGTAGAAGGAGACAATACCAAGGGGCCTCGATTTTATTTCATTCTAAGGCTTACAAATTACGAAACGCATTTGCCAAGAGAAGTTGTGGATCGTTCCATTGACAGAGCCTTTAAGCTCTGGAGTGACGTGTCACCTCTAACGTTCTCCAGGATATTTGAGGATGAAGCAGATATAATGATAACCTTCTTCCGTGGAGGTGAGCTCTCCCACTTTAACGCCATCTTGCCCTTAAACCTCCTCAACTTTATAAGGAGAATGCTTGCTGAAGGGCATTGTCGATTTTATGGGTTAGGGAGGGAAATACCATCATATTGGATGGAAGTTTGTTGACCTTTTAACAGAGCCAACATGCACCCTCCTGAGTTAAACAACATGAGAATCAAAAGAGCTTTTATTGAATGTATTGAACCTGTTCCTTGCAGACCATAATGACAACAACCCCTTTGATGGACCTGGAAACCTACTTGCTCACGCTTTTCAGCCAGGCCCAGGGATTGGGGGCGACATTCATATAGATGCTGATGAAACCTGGACTGACAATACTGACGGTGAGTCAGATGATGTTGCTTTTCTCAGTTCACCTGCCTCTTCATAACCCAGTGTAGCACTGGTTGATTTAATGGGTAGAAAGCATTCCTAGACGTAGGCATTATTTTTCTATTACCACTCAGAGAATTAGTAGCACATTGAGAAATATGAAACTCTAGTGATTTCTGGTAGTGTGTCATCTCATTGGTGGCAAATTGGTCAATTCAAATTTTCCCTTAAGAAAATGCTGAGAGCCAGTGATATGACTCTGTGGGTAAAGGTGCTTGCTGCCAGGACTGATGACTTGAGCTGGATCCCTGGTACCCACCTGGTGGAAGGAGAGAACTGATTCCCAAATTTGTTCTCTGCCCACCACTCATGTACATACACATACAAAATAGATAAATATATATAAAATTTTTTTCAAAAAATTGCAAACAATTTTTTCAAAACGAAAGAATGTTGAAAGCTTTGCTATTTATTAATTTTGACAGTAAATTTTATGTAGAAAATTACATGAAGAAAAAAATTTCGAGCACTGAATATCAGTTTTGTAAATAAGAAAAGAATAAATGTGAACAGAACTCATCATTCCTCTGAGAAATAACTTGTGCCAGCTGATCATTAAAACAGAATCATCTCAGCTAGATGTTCAGTGGGTGAGATTGCCTTGATCTTATCAGTGTAATCCTAGAGTTTAGGCATCAATATGTCTCCTTATTATTAATAAACTCTGG